CACATTTGGAAAATTTACAGGGCCAGCTTTCCATATAAGATAATTCATTTTAATTACTCCATTCTCCAAAGTGGGGTACATGTCTTAAAAGTAATCGCACCTTTTGAGGTACTGATTGATTTTAGGGTTCAGCTCTGGTGTTAGTATCAGGACTAGAAGGGCATGAGTTATTTTTATTGTTTTGTTAAGTACAAATGTATTTTTCCAGCCCGGACAACAGCACTGCATTTATAATTGATCAATGCCTAAAACCAAGAGCATTGCCAGTCTGGCAGCCTGGCGACACAGCGCACGCGAGACTATGAACAGAGATTCTTCTCTGTAGGATACCAGGACTGAAAACCTAGCGCGATAGCTTACTCAAATGCTGGTGAAAAAAAGGAAGCCGGAGTCCACTGATCACTCCACGGAAATTTAGTTTTGTCCAAGAAGAAAGGTGACCGTTCAGAAATACCATGTCCCTTGCTGTGCTGCTTCTGACAGCTTCTCCAGCTGCCCAGGTTAGTTGGGAATCAGACTGGCACTTTGATGGAAACTCTGTGTTTCACCCACACCATCTGGGTGGTAGTTCAGGGTCTGGCTCAGCTCTGGATTTCTCTGTGGGTCCCCAGGGAGGGAAACAGCAGCAAAATAATGGGCTGACTGAAGCTTGAGGTTTGCATATGGAGAAAGCATGATCAGCCAAGTACATATTAGTGCACAAATAGTTTTCTCTGGGGTAAGTTGTCATCCCTCTTAATGATTCCTTTCACAGAAGTTGTTTATACCTTTCATTGCTGTTAACTGCTTTTTTCTCTCTACCTTTTCCAACTCACTGCATCCTTCCTGAAGCAAGTGACCAGATGGTCAGAGCTTATGTTATTCTAAGGATATAATAGGGGTACATCAGAAAAATTAGTACCTATGTTCTAGCAATGGGCAACAACAAATCAGCTGTAATTAGTACAAAGGTTGCTACCATAGGGTCTCTTTGCCATGGCAATGTGCTTTGTCATCACTCCTGTCTGCCAGTTTGAGGTAGAAGGATGAGCTCAGGACTGGCATGGGGCCAGCCAGAGCAAAGCTTCATTTGAGCTCCCTGTGTTGCCCGTCTGGGAGGTGCACCAGCAGATTCGGAGTGGTTTCTTTGGAAGGAGCTGGAGATCTAGAAGCTGTGAGATCCAGAGGCTGGAGTCTTTGAGGCTCTGCATCTTCTAAGCAGAAACTGTTCATTTCAATGCAAATCAGTGTAACTGTTGAGTTTAGGGAGTTTGCGCAGACCAGCCCCACCTGACTGTTTGTTCAAAGGTATAAAGAAAAATTTATCTCCAGGCTTTTATCTTCCTCTGAGTGTGGTATCAAAGTGCCTTTGTTAGTGCACAAGTACGTATCCTGCGTAAAAACAGAGCTTTGCATGACAATTATGTAATAGTTTTTGTTTGCTTTCCTAATTGGAGAACATTTTGAAAGCGCAATAAAACACAATTTGTTCCGTCTTTCCAAAACGAAATGTCTCCTTTTGGAAGGAAGAAGGGAGTAAATTTACATTATAATGAGCAAATTGATATGAGCGTGTAGATCAGTGTTGACATAAAGGGTGAGGGAAATAAGATGTTCTTATTTTGTGTGTTCCCCTCCCTTTTTGTTCCCTCTCACAGGCATTTGCCTGTGCACCCTGCTGCTACCAGGCAAGGACGTGGCTGTACTCATAGTCAACGATAGGATAGTAACATCATAACTCAGGTAACAAAAGTCCATATGAAGCGAATCATTCTTCGCCAGGGCTGCCTCACACACCTAAACCCCTTCCCCAGCGAGTGCTAGCGATGAAGGCACATGCGGTTTACTACTGCACCTCCTAGCTAGTTGTTTTTTGGTTTTTATTGTCACTCTCTATTGTCCTATTGGTTTTGTCATTTACTGATACTGTTGGGATGTTGGTGTGGACTGACCAGATGAGAGTGCTATTGTTTGGTTGCAGCCATATGACTTATCTAGCAAAGAGTTTAGCAAAATGCTGCATTGGGGTCTGCTCCTGCCCTGCTGCCAAAGCCAGGGGGTGAATTAAACATTGAAGCTGTTGTCTCAGTCACCAGTCCGTCCTGCCCTGACTTTCTGGAAGTGAATCGCAGTTGTCCAAATCTTTTCTCTTTCCCATCCCTCTCTCTTTGTAACCAGCAGCTTCCTTACTGGTTTTGAGAAGCTGATATTGCCATTAACCCCCTGCCCAGCTGTTACGGTGTCAGGGCTCCAGGCAAAATGGCATCTGTTTGGCTCCTAGAGAAGTCATCCCAGGGATTGCCTGGAGAGTCTGGCTGCAAGCAAAATCCATATGCAATGCTTCTGTCAGCAAAGACTTGCTGGAAGAGGGTTTATAATAAATATTCACATCTGCTGCTTTGGACACTCTAATCCATCCTACAGATCTTTGCTGTGTCAGGCTTTGTTCTAGATGAAGAAGCCTGGTAGTTATAAAGGTTTGCAAATAGGGCATATTTATCATGGTTAGCTCTACTTTCTAGTTCCCTTTCTTGCACAAATATCCATGACCATGCTAAGCATAACTTGTGATTAAATATTTTCAGTGCATTTGTGAGATGTTTTAGACTATGTGTTTCCTTTGAAAAATAGAGAAAATGGCAGTTGTTTACTTCCCAGGCTGTCAAATGAAGCCATCAGGTCTCGATGAGCAGAGCAGAGCACATCATTGTTATGAATTAGTTTGAATGGAGACGCAATGTATTCCCCAGATAAACTATACATCACACAGGCACGCCCAAGGCCCTGGGGCTTGCACATTATTAACACTGGGGCAGGCCCTGCCATAGTAACTTCTGTTGGGCAGTATGTTCCCATTGGCTACTTGGTAAATAAACTGAATGACTAAAAATAGCAAAATATCTCCTGCTTTTCATAATCTTCCCAAAAATTATGACCTCAGTGCCAGACTGACTTTGTCAGTGTCAATATGAATTATTCCTCTGCTGGAGATGCCTTTGCTTTCAGAGAGAAAATCCTGATACAAAAAACAGCTGTATTCATTTGGAGGGTATATTAAACTTGCTCCTAATAGAAAAAGGTGTTTGACCAAGATCATGACTGGCAGTACAAGGATTCCATTGTTGGGAGGACCACATCAGCTTTGAAATGAAAGTATTGATCCTCTTTTTTTTTTTTTTTTTTTTTTTTTTTTTTTTT